CTCACCTCACACGCTGCTCACCTCACACACTGTTTACCTTACACGCTGCTCACCTCACATGCTGCTCACCTCACACGCTGCTCACCTCACACACTGTTTACCTTACACGCTGCTCACCTCACATGCTGCTCACCTCACACGCTGCTCACCTCACACAGTTGACAGGTGAATGCAGGTTTGGGTGCTTCTGTTTCACTCCGACAGAAGAGTCTGTCTTGCTGACATGCTCTGTGTGTAGGGGGGGGGGGTCCGTCTACCCGCCCCTCCCCTACAGAGAAGATAGCCCTGCTGGTGCACTCAGTGCTATTGGCCTGTTTATATCCATGTACATAGTGAGGAGGTTAGCTAAAGAAAATGAACTTCTCGACACATCCGTTAACAAGTGGAACGCTTTTTTAAAAACCTTGTGTTGAGTGTGGAGTCGTGTCCTGGGGGTACCTTTAAGTTTCTGAGCCCTTAGAGTCTAGAGAATACTTTCATATAAAAATTGTTAAATATTACATTAGCCGAATACAATGTATTCAGGTGATGTACTGCTGCTCCTTACGGCTCTCTGTAGCGACGCCACGAAGCTGTATCACCAGTAAAAGGCAGTCTTTGCTTGTGTGTTTCCTGAACAGTCTGTTCTGGAAGGAGCCAATTGCAACCCAGCATCTGTTAAACAGTCCAATCAGGTACAAGGCTGTCGGCCGGGGGCGGTGAGTGTGTATCTATGGACGCACTATCCCACATCCTTGAGCTTTACCTTCAAACTTTGCCGCCCTGCAAAGTTTCCTTGTTTTTCTTTCCCTGTCATAATGCAAAGATGCATCAGAGTCTTGTCTGCCTTGTTGTATATGTCTCGTCTCCTCGCTCTGTCTGTCACAACATCATATCCTGGAGTCAGGGAAAGGGTGCTTTCCAGTCATTGGCTCAATGGGCCAATCCTGGTGAGCCATGCTTGTCAGCTGGTCCAATAGGAGCCCACAGAGAAATGTTAAGTCAGCTGTTGGCTGATGGCACATAGTAACCCCGCCCTCTGTTGTTCTCTGAGCCAGCCCCCCCCCCTCCCCCGCACCAGCATCATGACCCTCAGAGGAATGGCGGGTGGATGCATGCTCCCTACAGTGACAATCCATCTCTGGGGGGGGGCAGAAACCTGACGTTCACTCAGACTTTTAAATTATGCTCTGAATGAAATATGTACGTCTGGATGATTTATTATGGCATACTTTTTTTTTTTAAGGGGTAACAGGGAATAATCAATGGATAGAATGTGCTGGCACCTTCAGGAAATGTGGTGGAAGTATGTTTATAAAATACCATTTTTAAGGCTCGTTTATAATTGCGTGAGATGTGAGCAATGATGCGTACATTTTAGTAGGACTAAACTGCTTTATTCAAAGAAATGGGCATCACTCTCCCCGCCTGTTAACACACGTTTATGTTTCAAGCATCAGTAAACAGGACCACCGTGCATCTGTAAACAAGCTGTCCCGTATTTTTCATATAGGGAAAAACAGCCCTATTCAATCATAATTTTTTAACAGGCGCTGTGATTTTTGTAATTAGGCTCTCAGCGGCACTATGAAGCGCTCCTTCATTTTGAGAGATGCGGGTCTGGGTTTTCTTTTGCTCGGTACGTCATGCACACTCACTCCTCAGGCTACGGCCTTGGAGATTAATGCATGAAGCCTGCCTTTGTCTTCATGTGCTGCTGAGGTGACGAGGGCACAACCCTCAATACGCTGTAGTCAGTCCTCCTAGGAGCTTGTGGTTGGCTGTGGACCGAAACGTCACTGCGTGAGTCTTTTTCAGGGGCGCGGTTACGGGTGGACAGTGCCCACCCAGATAGATTGTCTGCTCACCCAAAAGGATCGTTCGCCCCGCCACCATCCAGTCACCAACTTTTAGCTGAACACTGGTGCCCACCAGACAATCCCAAATGGCCCCATGACGATGGCATCCCAGTGACGCAACTGGTCTTATCACAGGAACCTTGAAGGTTCTGAATACATTTAGATCTGCCCCCCCTAATCCCAGAATTCCCAGTCTAGACACTCAACACCATTCCCGCTGCCCTGTCTCCAGGTCGACGCCCACGGAAACATCTTGCTGACCACCTTGGAAATCCACAACGAGGTCGCCGGCCACGAGGCGGCCCCCAGCCCCACAGAGGGCAGGAACTCGCTGGCGGCGGCGGCGCCATCCGATGGCTCCAGCGTGCAGTACAGGAAAGCGGGCGCCCCCCGGCAGGGCCTGGAGCGCAACGCGCAGCTGAAGAAGCCGCGACTGCGCAGGAGGTCCTCGCAGCTCAAGATCAAGATCCCTGACCTGACGGACGTGAATGCCATCGACCGCTGGTCGCGGATTATATTCCCAGCCGCCTTCTCCCTCTTCAACCTCATCTACTGGCTCTACTACGTGAACTAGACTTAGAGACTGTGAGGGAGGCGTTTCCCACACTTTTTATCGACACTTTTTTACTCGTAACAGGATTCCTGTGGATTGAAAAAAAAAGAGATTTTGTAAAGAACTGGCGTTCACTGAGCGAGGGACTGTAAGCAGCTACAGGGGATGTGCACTGCACGCGAAAGCTGCCTTCCTCTGCACTCCAGATACAGTGTGCTGTTATCCACTGCGCTCACTGAACAAATCTTACTTTTACAACAAATGACAGAATAGCGTAACTAAGATGGGCCTGTAAATAACTGGAATGCAGAAGGGCAATGCATAGAAATGTAGACTTAAGTATGGATATATGGTTAAAATGAGTGGCCCTTTATACATTTACTTTCCCACTAAGGTGATAAGACTGTATTTATGCAAATGAACACAATTTATTGTAGATAGCTTTTTTGAAACGCTTATAAATATGATTTTCCGCACTTGTACCACATGTATACATATTTATGTGCTATATGCTCTTTATGGGGCCCCACTACTCTCCATTTATGTTGCAAGCCACTGCAGTATTTTCCTTCCTATGGTTTCACAGCACATACCGTAATGTGCTGGGCGGGTATAAGATTTATACGCAGTACCTTCGGCTTGGATGAATGTATTTGTGCTTCAGAGTAACCCTCCAGTCCGCGGACACAAGATGGATTGATGGACCCGACCTGTCTAACGGCGTGAAGCATTTCCCGTTCTCACGGATTCTATTCTTCTTGTTCGATGGTACAGAAAAGCATGGAAGATTTCTGTCCTCAGTTGAGCTGGTTTTATAGCGAAACTGGCCGGGATTTGATAAGTTATTTACCACGGTAGGTTTTCTTTCACCCTTCTTTCGGCCATTAGCCTCCCCTGGGTAACCGGTGTGTGAAAGCTTACATCACCCTTTATATCTGGCATGAGGTATCAGTCGCATGTGATCTTACGCTGCCTCATTTTTCTATTCAACGCCCCCCCCTCCCCATTCCGTCCCGCCAGAGCAGCGCTGTACATAGCATGTCATATTTACATGAAATATTAACATATAAGCTCTATAATATGTTGAGAAAATTTCAACTGAAAGCACAGATTGCTGCGCATATTCTGTATGTACGCTTGTCACTTTTACCAACCTTGTTTATGTATTTGTTTATTTCTTTGTTGTTAGATAAGTAGTTATGTACCATCGATATGTTCTCTGTTATTACTTTTGTGATACGGTGTTTTTTTCCACTGGAAGATCCTTTTCTCACGTAAAATTGAAATCACTTTCAAAGGTGTAGTGCTTCAGGATACTGTTCTGCTTATTATGTCACATTCTGTGACAAATATGGGAATTTAATCCAAGAGTGGAACTGATCTTTTATTTTTTTTGACAGCCTTTTATTTGTCACTCCCAAACACGGTGACCTGTGTCTCTCCCAAACACGGTGACCTGTGTCTCTCCCGAACACGGTGACCTGTGTCTCTCCCGAACACGGTGACCTGTGTCTCTCCCGAACACGGTGACCTGTGTCTCTCCCGAACACGGTGACCTGTGTCTTTCCAACATGCAGGAAGCTCTGTTGTTTTTTTTTTCCAAAGCAACGCCAGCATTCTAACCTACTTACAGTATATACACTTTTTGCAGTGTTTTTCCTAAATGTATTATTTACATGAACTAATATTTGTGCTAGTTTACCTGATTTCACAGAGACCCCCCCCCCCCCCCCAACCTGTCGTATCATTTGTGCCTATCCACAATTCACAAAAAAAAAAAAAATGTTACATGATTGATTTTGATTGATCGAGACGCCCCACTCCGAAGCTCACTGAGCAAAATGTGGGAACAGCCATTATTATCAGGAAAAATAAGTGACACTTTTCAGGGATTTCCAAACACCTACTCATAGTTCCCAAGGTGGTGGTGGCCTCTCAGAACATGGGCCACAGAGTGTCTGAACAAGGTGGGGGGGGGGGGGCACCAAGTTTTGTCTGTTTTCTTTTGGCAAATTCAGATGTAACTTTCATTTCTCTTCTAATTAGTCAAAGCCTGCACACCTCACAATGCATGTTGCATTTTGGCTGAAAATGTCAGTGACACAACATTAAATGTACAGTCTAAAAATACAGTCGATTGGTACATATCGAATTGCAGCACTCGGTGAGTAATCGGTATCTTTAACCTCACCTAAAAATCACATTTTTGTTTTAAAAAAATCATAAATTTAATTCAGGCTTTTATTAATAAAGTTTTATTGGTTTGCATTAAATTATTTGCAGGTAATTTTTGTTCGTCCCTGCAGGGCTCACGAGGCCCCCCCGTGTCAGGAAGGGGCTGATAAAGGGTGTTCTTGTTTGGATCTGGTACCTGAGGATACCCATCAAAACCAGTGGGAGCTGGGTTAGCAAACACACATGTGGTCCGGGGATCTGAGGCCAGCAGCAGGATTTGACCCAGGATGCATCTGGAAAGGCTGAACGCTACTGGGGGCGGTGTCCATTAATTATGACCTAGGAGAGGGAAGACTCCCCGTCCCGTAAACGTTCAGTGTTTATATACATCCATCAGCAGTCACATAAACACGGTCAGTGTTTAACTGCTGTTCTTTGTTTCAATTAAATCTGCAAGCCCGTGTTCCCCTTTAAACCCCCTTCTCTGCATTCCCCCTTTATTTTCTGGCAGTTTGCGTCTTATAGTGTTATGTGCTATGATGGGTGAACCGAGGCGGACTCAGAGTGTCTTATCTTTGGTGGTTTTCCCTGCTCCCCCATCACACCTTCGTTGTGGCTTTTATGTCCGACCTGACAGTCACACGGGGGGTGGGCCGACCGCGATGAGACAGGCGCACTGCAGATGAGACAGGCGCACTGCAGATGAGACAGGCGCACTGCATGCGCTGGTTTACCCCTTTATTTGTTGTTCTTCTCTTGCGCCATGAAGCTGGCATGAGGGTGTGTGGAAAGCGAGGAGGAAGATGCATAGCCTGTGCCGCGTTTAAGAGCGGGCACGCTGCCTCCGATCCGAGGCGCTCTGGGCCTCCATAAATCTCAGACTGAGGCGGCCTGACGGATCCGGCCCGTGTGGCGCCTGCCAGCAGTGGAGCAGTGACATTCTGAAGCGGCCATGACCTAGAATCATGGCAGAATTCTCCCCGCTGACCTTGAGACAGGAACAGATCTAGCTGGAGTCAACCACACGCACTTAAGTGAACAAATCACCGCGGTAATAAGGTGCATCCCAGATGAACTGGTAGCTACTGGTTACGAGACTGATTTCTGTGTGGTTCAGACGACCCCCCCCCCCCCCCCCCCCCCCCCC